GGCTTTGGAGCAGAGACCTGACAGTTTGCAGGGGGGTGTTGTCCTGGTGTCAGGGCCTTTTGTCATACCTGTGAAAAACTGCCCAAATCTGGCCAAGTTATGAGCCTTCGAAAAATCTCAGTTTGCACATGCTCAGTAGAGGCTTGTTAGTTTGGCAGCTAAATTCTCCGAAGAGTCTGTCTGCGCTGAGCGTGCTCCAATCTGGGGTAGCTGGAGCTGAGCTGGACTTTCCCTGCAATTGCTGCTTCTGGCCGCTGTGACACTGGCACAAGGACCGAGTAGTGACAGTGTCTCTCCTTGCGCTCAATGCTCCAGCGTGGAGAAAGAAGTTGCCTGACTTAAATGCAGAAGGGACAAGAGCCTGACTTGGGAGTGGGGATGGCAGAGGGAGCTGACTGGAACAAGACGACTCAGGAGAGGAGAGGGCAGATGCTGGGACTGACTGGTCAAGGAGACTGAGAATGGGAGCTGGAGGGAAGGGTGCAACTGGGACTGGGGTGTCTAAGATCAGATCAGGAGCTGGGGTGGATGACTGGGTCTGGTTAGGCAGAGAGACTGGGACAAGGAGTGTGGTGGGGGTAGACTTGGAGTGAGATGAGGAGCAGGGAGGAGGGGAGGGACAGACAGGAAGCACAGGGACAGGTTGGAGGAGATGATGCAGAAGAGGCCAGGCTTGGAGAAACAGGGGCGATGACTATACCCTCCCCTCTATAACCTGAAATGGATTCCCAGTCTCAACAGTCCTCTACTGTCAGCAAATATCTGTGACACCGGCTGGCAAAGTGCGTCTCATCCCCTTCTAGTGCTGGTCCACACAGAAGATGACAACCTACTACAGCTGTCAGTTACTCCATTAGCTGAAGTGGCAGAAGTTTTGCTGTGGAGCTAAAGGTTCCAACTCTACTGATGACCCATGTAGAGGCCAGTATGATTCCACCTGAGAGAATTTCTGTTTTTTTCAGGCTTTTTTTTTTTTAAACCTAGGAAATTACCTACAAAAACTACATTAAAAGAATGTAGTTGCAAAGTCAAGTACTCAAAAGTTACCAAATACTGAAGCCCCCCCCCTTGCGTATATGCATTAAGACATAGTCTTTAATTACATGATCTCATACTATTTTTTCCATAGGACCCCTGCTTCATTCAGTGCCCAGAATGCACCTGCTCTGGGGAAGGGTTAGGGCTGTGTAGTAAAGGAAGCAGGGAAGTGCAGGCAGAGAAAGAAGTGTCGTATGGTTAAGGTAATGACTGCCATGCAGAGTTTGAGTCTATCCCTGCTTCTGCTACAGAGTTCCTGTGCGATGCTGGGCAAGTCACTTAACTCCAGTGTTTCCATTGCGTGTTCTTCATTTTCTGGGTGCCCAACTTGAGAGCCTGCGGCTGAGCACTCAGCTCCAAGGGGAGTCGACGGGAGCTGTGCTCGGAACAGATAACGTGCTAGAGAATGCGAAGTGCTCTGCAGAAATGAAGTCCTCCAACTGGACACCCAGAATTGGTGGATCCTTTTGAACTTAATTTCTCTGGCCCAGATCCTCAAAGGTATCTAACTGCCAGTACTACCAATGGGCATTAGGCACCTAAATACCATAAGGAGCTGTGCTTGTGTGCCTCATCTGTAAACTAGGGGTAACAACATCCCCTCCCCTCACAGGGGTGAGGGAAAATAACGCCATGCCTGTTGGTGAAGCTCTCCGACGCTCTGGTGATGAGCGCCACAAAGCAGCCAGGAGGAAATCAAGAATTCTGTCTTCAGAGCAGGGTTGGAATAGTGCGCAAGGCCCAGAGCCACACACTGTTCAGTGAGGAGAAAACCAACTATCAGGCAGCGGTTCACTCCGTGTGCACCGTCCGTCCTGCGCGCTGGACACAAGCCAGCTTGCGATCCCGTGACGACTGGCTCCTAGAGCATCGCACGAGTGGGCGGAATGAAGGGTGAACGGGCAACCTTCATTCTGGCATTTCCTAACTTCCCGGGGTTTGCGGTGCAGCTGTAACGGCCTTTGCACATAGTTTTTTGGGGAGGGGGGGTGATTATTTATACAGTCCCTAACGCGTGCGAGCCCCTTAACAACCAAATGGACAGGCCAGGGCCCTGCCCCAACGACAACAGGGATGAAGGCTGAGACAACAAGGGCATCAAAACCAAGGGAACAGTGGGGACGTTGAGCATGTGTTTCGCTAGTTCCGCACTGCTTTGAAGGGAGGCTATGCCAATTTACTACTGAAGCCTGGTTTGACTAACTTATACCAGATGCGTAACTTGCTCGCTGCTGAATTTGGCCTAGTTACTCCCTTGGGAGTTGCACCCACTTACACCAGGGGTCATTTGGCCAACTTTGCCCCAGGCTGGCTTCCTGACTAAGCCCCAGAAGCAGCCCTCCCTCTCTCTCACCCTACAAGACTTCAGAGTTTATAAAATATCCCTATGTCTGTGGTTCTTTTGAGCTCATCTTTTCAAACAGGCTGAGTGTAATCCTAATAACAGAGTCCTGGAAACAGTGAACCATGGAAAGCTTTGCAGAATTAAGTTCTTCTAGAACTGCCATCCATCCCTTTACCTCCCTTGTCTTAGGCACTTTGTCTTTCAAACTGCTACCCAGGCCAGGGAGCTTGGCTGTTATTTCTCTGCTAACACATTCCCTGAATTAAGGCATCAAAGAGGAAAGAAAGTGGAGGGTTCCTAAGCGGGGTAATAAAACCAACAAGCAAGAGAAAGGGCTTTCAGGAACCATGCTGCACAAATTCAGATGCTTACTAAAGCGACACAGCAGCTCCACGCCCACGTTGTATCAGTGGCATTTAGCTGCAGTGGGGACAGGGGTCAAGCCAGGACTGGAAGGGTGCTGCAGACAATCAGCTCTCGAGCCTCTCGGGCAGGGCCGGCTCCAGGCACCAGCCTGGCAAGCATGTGCTTGGTGGCGGCCGCTCCGGAGAGGGGCGGCACGTCCAGCTATTCGGCGGATGGTCCCTCGCTCCCGCTCGGAGCGAAGGACTTCCCGCCGAATTGCCGCCGCAGATCGCTATCGCGGCTTTTTTTTTTTTTTTTTGGCTGCTTGGGGCGGCCAAAACCCTGGAGCCGGCCCTGCTCTCGGGTGCCTAATATTCTTTTGATGTTCAGGACCCTAGAGTTGGAGAACCTTTAGCAGGCTGCTTCCAACCTATCACCAACGGCTAACGTGGGATTGCTTCGTCTGCAGGGTTGTGCCACACTCCGCAGGAAGTCACGGGGGCTCTCACCACTGCCCTGGTCAGACTATTCCACAGCCTCGCAGGCCCGACTGCTGGGAACATTTTCCAGCTTTTCAGCCCAACTTGTTTAACTCAGTCCCAAGACTCTCAGTTGTGCCGTCCGAACCACCCTACACATGCCCCGCCCCTTCTTCTTACATAAGGAAAGGGAGGTGAACTGGTGTGAGTTACATCTGCCCATTAGCTGGGGTAGCCGGTCTGCTTGCACGTAACTAGGTTTCATTTTGCAAAAGGGGTTAGACAGCCAGCGAAGGCAATGGCTCCCGCGCCCCCGACTGCTTCATCAGAGCGCTCGGGGGTCATGAGGAGAAGAGGCAGCATCTAGGCGTCGGCATGAAGTGATCCATGCGGACAGCAAACTGTTTGCTAGGATTCACCAAAGAAACCGAACATAGCTGACGTTTCCAGACCCCAAACTCTCGGGAGGGCTTTGGGAAACCAGGTGAAAACAGCCTCATGCCACTGGTAAGTGAAAACGGGTTCATGGCAGAGACTAACAAAATGCGACACAGTTCAGCCTTGTTGACAATCTGTGCTCGATGGAGCAGCAGCAGGACTGAGGTACACTGGCAAATCTGTGAGCACATGGGGCTGGCAGGCCAGTACTGCAGTAGCAGGAGGTCCCGTCGATTCAAACTGAAGTGTATTGGCAAAGCTGCATGTGTGCTGGCATGGCTGGGAGAACACCTGCACAGAGCCTGCCTGCTCGATCTGTGGATCACATCCATCGTATTAGTACTTCCCTTTCATGAGCAACAGTTTCACTCTTAAGTTTCCAGTTAAAGAGAAAACTGTAGCGTAGACAAGTCTACAGCAGGGCTAACAACACACAGCCCAGGCACTAGAGCCAGTTAAAATTAAAAAGTACACTCTGAACATAAAAGCAAGCAACCAAATCCAGGTCAGAATGAATGACTTCACATGGAGTCTGTCCAGACTCTCACTTTTGTCATCATTCCACACCCTGAAGTAGAGATCTGCCAGCTCCCCACCCCATAAATATTCATTAAAGCCCCTGTTTGTGATAGGATTATGTAGACAATCTGCCCTTTGTCATCTATGAAGGCAGGACAGTTCTACTCCGGCAGTTGCCAAGATGCTAGTGCTAACATGATGTCCCGACTTTACCCACCAGGCAAAGATTGTTCCCTTCCCCAGAGCCCAGAAGGTGCTTTTCATTTGCATAACACAGAGCTGGTCGAAGCTGCCTTGATAGCTAATATTGAGCAGATTGTAATGCATGCAACACTCAATCCTGACTCTAATGATGTCCCCTTGGATCAAGAGAGGGACGTGCGCTGGTCCCTGTGGGCAGAAGCACTTTCAAAGGCGAGGGAGGCAGGGGACTGCATGGGCCAACTCGGTGGGCTGCGTTCGTTCCCCTGGATGTGACAAAGATTATTAGTCGAAATAATGACTCTGTGCCAATGGCAACCTGCAGGCTGATTGTGGTCTCTGGGAACAGACTGTCTCAGGGCCCAGTGCTGATCTCAGAGATGTCCATGGGAATTTCGCCAGTGACTTCAGTGGGAGCACCAGTCCCTTAACTCCCCTTCATTCAAGAGGATGTTGCTTGGACAAAAAATCCATCCTAATGTGACAAGGCCCCATGTTGCGGGAGCAGAACCTGCCCATTAGCTTACTGCTGCATCCAGGTGGAAAGAAGGATAAAGTCTAGGGTAGAAAGTTTAGGAAACACCCAGTTCCTTTAATTAATTCTAAGCCCATGATAAATACAGCCCCCTGCTTACATTTGGGTTCCAGACGCTGGCTGCTTCCGATCAAACAGTCTCGGAGGTCAGCTCCTTTCTCTATCACGGCGTTATGACAGACGAGGCAGCTCTGGAGGCAGCTCCTGCAAGGGGAACACAAAAAGTCGTCGGATACAGAATTTCACTAGAGATTCAAGCAAGTGCAGTAACTAAGTGCTCCACGCTCTCGGATGAGCCGAACACACGATTCTGTAGGCAGGCCGAGCTCTGAGCAGCCCCATCTCGCCTGGACTTTCCCCAAATTCCACACGGTCCCTGCCCACTGCGCTAGTTGCGCTGATAGAACCTTCCTGCCAGCTGTCCGAATGGGCACACAACGAATGGGTGCTTGCAGAAATTACTGGAAGACAGTTACACACAGAGAGATAATTTTGCATTTAGCTGATTGGTAATAGGGGGGTATAGGACTTGCCAGGGTCCATCTAGGCCAGTATTCTGTCTCCAACAGAAGCCAGCACCAGATACTTCAAAGAAAGTGTAAGAACCCCATAGCGGGCAGATGTGGGGTAATCTGCCTCCCAAATTAGGTCTCCTCCTAAAGCATGAGGTTCAATATCCCTGCCACAAAACTATTTTTAGTATTAATTATGACAACTTTGGATATTCTTCTGATCCATATAAATGTCCCTTTTTGAAGCTTGTTAAGTTTTTGCTTTCAGTGATTTCCAGCGGCATGGAGTTCCACAGTTTTACATGTGATGAAGCCCCCAGCCATTTTGATCTTTGCTCATGAGCATCCTGCCCCCCCCCACCTTGGTAAACAGTTTCACTGTTCTGGCAGAATGCTGCAGCCATTGGAGGTCCTGGTGGTCGATGGACAGGCAATCTGTCGTGTAGCTAGATACAGCCAATCCCAAGAGGGCTTTGAATAACAGGACAGAACTGTAGAACTGGAGCCATGTGGATGTGGTTGCGGTGACCCAAGTTAAGACAGGCTTCCCCACCACCACCTGCCAGCCCTACAAACTCACCCTGAGCTCCTCCCTGCTCACACACCATCATCAGACACAGATTCTGCCACCCAAACTTAGACAGCAATTCTCCTGCTGATGTACGAGCCAGGGCAGAATCCAGCTCCCTCTCTGAGAGCTGCAGCAAGTCTGCAGGGCTAACAGGAGCAACCCCTCACTTCAGTCAGTAGAAGTTATCAGTTCAGACCCAGGAGTACACCAGGGGAGGTCTGGGGTGTAAGAAGGGGACACCAGAAACACGTGCTCTGACTACAACCATGCGTGAGCCCAGTCCCTCCTCCCCCACGAGGAAAGGCGATTGGGATTCACTCTGGAGCTGTCCAGCTCAGGTTGCCTTGCCAAGCTTCTATGAAAAACACGTTAATAAGATAATCAAGTAGGGAAAAGGCACCAGCCTGTCTTTGCTTTCGGTTACTGTAGCACTGTCACAGCTGCTGCTCCAGCACTACACAGCAGTTTGGAGGCCATCATGTTCCGGAAGAGAGCATTAGCGCAGAAATAATGTTTATCAGTAGAGGTCAGGTTAAGGAATGAATCAGTTCAGCACAGACTGCCCGGTGCTGCTGAGAGTTTTCCTAGCAAGGACAGAGCTGCTCCCGAACTAGAAAAACCTACCCAAAGCGTGCCCCACGCTCAAAGAGCCTTATCAGTGTGTGAGCGCTGCACGGGCCAATTCTAGAGTCTATCTTCCCAGCCTCACGTGGGGCCCGATCCTGGGCGTTCCCAGCACCCCAACTCTTACTGACTACAAAAGGAACTGCAAGTGCTCAGCGTGTCTCAGGCTTCCACCAGCGGTTTATAAGCCCTTACCCACTACCCGCTAGTGCACGTATCTGCAGAGAAGGGATTTCAGGAGTGACTGGTAAGGCTCAGATAGGAGAATGCTGGGTCTGAGTGTGGAGAAAATCTTGGAGGTGGCTTGATAAGGAGAAGCTGGGGTTATAACCAAGAAACAGCTCACGCTGTCATCATCTTTGCACTGGTATCAATGATAAGCAAGTTGGGTGGGTGGTTGGGGTAGGTTGTGCTGATGCCAGGGAACCAGAGGAAACTTGCTGATGCAGGTCAGGTGCTAGCAAACCAGGGGAAACCTGCCCTTCTTCACCGCCAGTGGGAAAAAAAGATAAAAAAATCACCACCTCCAAAGCTGATCAAAGCACTCAAGCGCACAGAATTTTAAAATAATTCGCAACATTGTCCCCCCACTCACACAGAGTAGCAGCGGATCCAGTTTTTATTGTTCGGGTGGAGCAAAACTTCAACAGATATAAACACATTTGGTGGGTGTTCCTTGCAATCGCTGACAGATGGAATGCAGCCATTTTGAAACCACTTGTAAATGCCGTTTTAAAAAGTATGTTCTGCAGCCTGCCAAGAGAAGTATTCTGTGTGTTTATTTTATTTTTATTTATTTTTTAATGTAAAGAGCGAGGAAGGAACTTTTATTCTCTTGCAGGGTAAATGTCACATCTCAGGACAAGTCTATTGTGTTCTCTAACTCTTTGGCCACTGCACTTCGTGGCTGTTTCAAATACTCAGTACTATTTTATCCTGGTAGGAGCTCTGATAGCAGTCAGTTTGATGAACATTGATTTACTGCATCCTAATGGGAACCACATTTTTCTTACTAAAACCTAGTATATTTTTCAACTTTTCAGCACTGTGAAAATGGATCTCTTCTGACCTTAAAACTCGAGGACGACATTCAAACCCACAAGAACAACTAATTTGAGTCGTTTGATTTACAGCTGAAATTTCAATTAGAATTTGTTTTAAGTGAGATTGCACAGCTGAAAGTCTGGCAGCTGGGTGTTTTGCTGAAAATCAATAGACCTATGCAGTGTGCGTCTGCATTCTAGAGCGAGTGTTTTACAAGTCCAGTCCTGCAGTGGTAACAGATGTAGACGGCGGCTAGCTAAAGCGTATTCGTTTGCTCCACAGGTACAATGCGCGTGTGTGTGTCTCAAAGACAGAGAGACTGACTTTGTTTTTCAAACATGGGAGGAACAAGAGGAAGAGTAGTAATGGGGCCAAGGAGGCGGGGGGTGGGAGGGTTACAAGGATTTAGGTCTTTAAGCTGTAGACCACCTAACAAGATCACTCTGAAATGCTACTAATTTCAGTACGGCCACACACTACCCCCCACCTCCTCCCCACATTGTAAACAACTAATCCCAGCAGAAAACAACAGAGAGCAAAATGTACACACATTCGGCAACATTCCAGGCCCTTCTTTATCTTCTATTTATTTTTCTAAAAGGTCAGAGATTGTAGGGGAGGGGGGAGGAGGGGAGAAGAAAGCCAAAAACGCAGTCCATCTCTTGTGTGGGCCGAGCCAGTGTCCAAACACACAACATGGAGCTTTTATTGGACTAGGCATACTTCTCTCCCTTCCCCGCCCCCCCAATTTGTGGCAAAATCTCATAGCTTTAAACCAGAGGACAGGGTGGTCGATTGCATTTGAAAGCAATGTAAGGAATTGGGAAAGAATTCCATCTCCTGTCAAAATTATAAATAAGGAAATATTAGTCCCAGAGACAGGCTGATTTACGAAGCCCTGGAACTGATGACTTTCAGGCTGGCTATCAGTCTATAAATCAAACTCTTAAATCAAATCTGTCAATTGCAGTTGCAACATGCTACTTTAGAAAAGCAAAGCATCTACCACCTAAGGTAGTCAGCTCTCCCAGGAATTGTGGTACTGGATTCTTCTTAACCTTTGCAAAATATGCAATGCTCAGCACACAAGGATCAGTCTGCAGGAATCCAACACACAACCCATAATTACAGGCTACCCACTGATTATTTAGGACTCCATGATTAAAGTGATGAACGTTCCTGGAAGAAAGGGGCTTAAATAACGGAGGTCAAGACCTCAAGTGGAGCGCTGGCCCTAGACGTACAAAGGTATGGATGTCACAGGTTTGCCTTACAGCAAATCGGCTGAAATGGAGATGGGAAATATCCAGGGCCGCTAGCTTAATCCAGTTGTGCAACAAAAGGTGGTAGGCAACAAGGCAAGCTAGGTGTGTTACACATCGGGTGGAGGATTTCTCACAAAGGCTTGAGAAGTAGAGGAGAGGTCGAGCGGGCTGTGGAATGGAGATGTACAAGCTCTAAGAGGGACGGAGCCCGGAGCACTGTTCGAGAGCTACACGGCCGGCTGAATAGAGGGCAGCACTGATGCATCCCAAAGGAGGTACAGCCAGTCCTGCTTGGCCAGAAAGATGACAGCCACCACAAGAGGCCTTCATGGTGGCAGATGAAAAGCAAAGAAACAAAGAGAAACGCTTGGTGCTCTAGCAGCTGCCAATACCTTCTAAAGGAGTCCCGCTTAGTCTTTCTTAGCCAGTGGCATGGGGGCTATGACACACAGGCAAAGGGGTCGGACACTAAGATCATGGAAAAAATGGAGAGCTCCCAAGCCCATTGTCAGGAACCTAGAGAATCCTGAAATTTCACTTTCATAAAAATACCTTTTCAGATGTTAATAATGAGTGGGGATAATGCAACTCCTCTGTTTATACACTCAAGTAAATCCCAAAGGCTACAGTAGATGACAACTGAATGTGCTTAAATTTAAGAGATAATTTTCAAAGGAACCAGTCTGTTAAAAGAATATGGGCTTTGATCTCCAGCTCTCCCCCTAGGGGAGTAACACAAAACTCCTACCAACCCCCTAAGTTCTTAAGCAATTTGTATGATCTCTGAGGGTGTGTTTGCTGAGGAACTTGTTTTGTGTCTCTTTTCTAGCCAGGTCTATATACTGTGCTCATTACAATGGTATGATTGCTTTACACTTCTCCTGCCCCACACCCTAAATATTGAACTATGCACTGTGTGTACTTGCCTGCATTCGTATTTTCCAGTTACAATTCACGGGATCCTTCACATAACTGACCCAGAAGAACTGCCTCTGAGCTACCATCACTGGTTTTAGAAGGTGAAATACAGGTTTCTGGGCAAGGTGGACTGGGAAGTGGTTCCTCACCTCTGACACTTCAGTTTAGTTACCTCTTGTTGATCTTGGAGTAAGTTCATCTGTGGCCCTTCATTTAGCTAAAAGTCCAGTTGTAATACATGGGAGATCTGTCGTAGCCTTTTTCATTGTA